CACATATGGTGAATGTCACACCCAGACGGAAGGACAGTATCGGACACAGACTCAGAATGCCACACAAAGACATAGATACATGTAGGGGGGATCATGCATCCTGGCCAGGCATGGCGGCAGGCGCCTGTAGTCCCAGCTACTCAGGAGGGTGAAGCGGGAGGATAGCTTGAGCCCAGGAGTTTGAGGCTGCAGTGAGCCACTGCACACTGAACTCCATCCTGGGCGACAGAGCGAGACATTGACTTAAAAGAAAAAAAAAAAATGCAGCCTCCCTGTGTTACAGCACACATTGTTATGGACAAGTGGCATTTCACACTGTGTCACATAGACACACAAATGCTCAAATTGTGTCACACAAGATAAACCCACGTTGTGTCACACATATCACACTAGAATGCGTTCAGGGTCACACATTGTGGAATTCATACAGTGGATGCCACATGTGGATACCTACAGTGAATGTCCTGCATAGACCGAAACACACTATCACCAATAGTGTCACCTAGACACAGTGACTATCACACCATGACAGACACTGCCGTACACATAATCAGCACTGGGAGTTTCTCACACACATGTCACATGCAAATCCCCTACCATACACAGTCCTGCCGAAGCCTCCACCACCTTTTCCTTCGAGAAACCCTCCCAGGGAGCCTCCAAACACACATGGATGGGAGATAGGCGGGGATCTGAGACGGGAGGTCAGCTGGTGGGGCACAAGAACTCACTGGGCTGCGGCCCGGCCCGGCCCCCCTGCCTTGCCTTCCCCGCAGCTGCCGCACCAGTAACCGGAAAAGCCTCATCCTGACCAGCACTTCGCCCACGCTGCCGAGACCCCACTCCCCGCTGCCAGGTCACCTAGGTGAGACCAGTGGCAGAGACTTGGTGGGTGCGGAGTGGCCTACAGGAGGCGGGGCCTCGGGCGAGGAAGCGTGGTCATGCTACAGAAGGGGAGCAGTTTGAATGGAGGCGAACTGGTTTGGATAAGGGGCGGGGCCATGCTTGTGTGGGTGTGGTCAGTCGTAGAGGGACGGGCATTGGAGGGCGGAGACTCAGGTGGGCGGAGACTCAGGTGGGACGGAACAGAAAGGAGGAGTCGTACCTGAGGGGCGGGGCCATCCCAGATGAAGGCAGAATCTCGTTGGAAGGGGCCGGGCTGAGTTGGCAACGAAAAAATTTAGAGAGGCTGGGCCACAGGCGAAGAGGCGTGGTCTCCCCATAATAGGCGGGACTAGACTAAAGACAGGACATGCTGCTGTTTGCACGCCGCTTTAGGGAACAAGAGGCCTGAAGGGATTTGCCCCCTCTTTCTCTCACAGGCAGCAGTCCCCTGGACAGCCCCCGAAACTTCTCCCCCAACACCCCCGCCCACTTCTCATTTGCCTCCTCCCGAAGGTGAGTCCCTCCCCTCCAGGGCCCCAGAACCCTGGGCAGACCCTCTCCACCCACCGTCTGGGCCGCCATCTGTTCTTTTCCTAATAGCGCCCGAGCTAGGGCCTGAGGGGACCAGCAAGTGCCCCAAGGTCCCAGCGGGAAGGAGCGCCTAGCCTTCGGGATGGGGCCCATAAGAAGGCGGGGCCCAATCACTGGTCTGGAATGGGGAAGGGGGTGGGGATCCTTTTGCGGCTGGTCGAAAGCGCGTGCGCCCTGGGCGTGGAGTCTGTCTCCCCGAGCCTAGCTCTCCTGGCCAGGTGTTTCCATAGCAACAGGACGGGGTAGCCAAGATGAGGTGCGCAAGCGCAGATTGCGCGATGCCTATCGAGGGACTCTTGGTCCCCGAGGTGGGGGAGGACGACTAGGGCTGTTTCTCAAGGGGAGGAATCTCAGGTTTCTTTCCAAGAATCTCTGAGGGTTTCTGGGGTGTCCTTAAATTAATTTTCTATGGGCCTTTGGTGAAACTGGGGGAGGCAGAGAGGTTTCTCTGATGTTTTCTGGAGAAACTTTTCTGGGAGTTTAGGCCCGTCTCTTTTTCTTTGAACTCTATTCATTCTAAAAATGGTGTCTAAACACCTGCTATGTTCTTAGGAGCTGGGCGTATGGGGTCAATGACGTTCTGTCTCTACCCTCTGAGCTGAATAGAGCAGGCAGGCCAGAGAATGGGGATCGTTGCAAAGGCTGATGAAGGCTGTGTTGTGAGAGTCAAGAGAGACTGTGGGGACAGAGGACAGCTTGCTTGGGAAAGTGGGGGAAACTGCTTATTGACCATGGAATTTAGCTGAGGGCAATAGAAAGGCAGGGTAAGGCTCTGGGATTGGGTCTCACGTGTTTATCCGCAAGCGGGGAAGGCTGAGCGAGGGGACTGCTGGGAGGAAGGAGGAAGGGAGGAGTCCAATGAATGGGTGTGCATGTGTCCTTGTAACTGTGCAATCTGTGTGCTGGTGTACGTGTGTGATTGTGACTGTGTGAGGAATTACGTGCCTATGCAATGGCACGAGTCTCCGAATGTGAACGTGTGAATGTGTGTCTGTAGGATTGTAAGCATCCGTGAATATGCGAGGGGAGCAAGTCAGGTGTGTCTCCAGGTGAGCGTGCAATGTGTGTGTGGGTGTAAGCGTGTGTGGGTGTGTGGCTGTGAGATAGTAAACGCAAAGTCACAGTGTTTTCTGTCTCTCTCTCTCTCTCTTTTTCTTTTCTTGAGACAGAGTCTCACTCTGTTGCTCAGGCTGGA